CCCCAAAACCCCAAAACCCCAAAACCCCAAAACCCCTTTCGTACTTAAAAATATAGACTTTTCTTAGAATTAAATTACGTCAATTTGGTGAAAAATGGAAGATAAGAAAGATACCGAGCCAGAAAATGGAAACGTCAAAGTTGTCTGCAGGTTCAGACCAGTAAACCAAAATGAGTTGGACAGGAGCGGAGAGAAACAAATTTGCCAATTCAGCAAAAACAAGAAATCGGTCACCATTCTTCGTTCGAAGAACTCTGACGGCTCTGTGAGCAGTAACAAGTTCACATTTGATAGGGTCTTTGATACGCAGGTAACACAGAGGAAAGTTTATGAAAAAGCAGCAAAGCCTATTATCGAGGGAGTACTTAAAGGGTTTAACGGAACAGTTTTTGCTTATGGACAAACTGGCTCTGGGAAAACCCATACCATGCAAGGGCCAGATATCGAAGACCTTGAGCAGCAAGGAATCGTTCCTAGGATGATCAGAACAGTATTCAACCGTATCAACTCCTTAGATGATAACGTAGAATATACCATCAAAGTCTCCATGGCTGAAATTTATATGGAGAAAATTAAGGATTTGCTCAATCCCACCAAGGTGAATTTGAAAATCAAGAAAGATAAAGACAGAGGAATTTACGTACAGGGTTTAACGGAACAATACATCGCATCTGAGACTGACGTGTACAATATAATGAAAGTTGGTAATGCCAAAAGAACTGTTGCAAGCACTCAGATGAATGATGCGTCTTCAAGATCTCACTCTATCTTCATCATGAATATAACACAGAACAATTTGGATGATCATTCTTCAAAGTCAGGAAATCTTTACCTTGTTGATTTAGCAGGATCTGAGAAAGTAGCAAAAACCAATGTATGTGGAACACAGTTAGAAGAAGCTAAAGGAATCAATCAGTCATTAAGTACTCTTGGTAAGGTCATCCATGCTTTGACAGATAAGAAAATTAAGCATGTTCCTTACAGAGATTCAAAGCTCACCAGGATTCTGACAGAATCTTTGGGAGGTAATGCGAAAACATGCTTAATTATAACATGTTCGCCCTCATCATACAATGAGCTGGAAACTATTTCAACTCTGAGGTTTGGAACTGCTGCTAGGAACATCAAAAATAAGCCTAAAGTAAATAAGAAATACACCGTAGCAAAGCTGAAACTGATTGTGTCTCAGAAGAATAAATTGATCTCAACCCTTCGAGAGAGGATCCTTTGCTTACAAAATTTTATTAAGGAAAATGGTCTTGAGGTTCCCTCAGACAAAACTCTTAAGGAGCTTGCCGTAAAGCTTGGCCCTGAAGTTGACAAGATTATTAAGGAAGAACAGGAAATGAACGATGAAGAGGAAAAGGATAATTCTGAAAGAGACTCAGAAGGGTCTAAGATCGATGAGGATGATGCTGATGACCTTATAGATGAAGAAAATAAGGAGAAATCCAAGAAATTCCTCCAGTTAGTTGAATCAAACACTGACAACTCTTCAAAAACTAGGGACAAAATCATGGCTGAGTACCTTAAGATCCAAAAACTCCTATCTCAAGAGAGAGAAAAATGCCAAAAACAGGTGGACCTAATTTCGAACCTCAAAGAAGATCACCAAATCTTCCAATTAAAAATCAAAAAGTTATCCCTAATAAGGGAAAATTTTGACAACTACAAGGAAACCACTGAACAAAAGGTGAATGAATTCAAGGAAGAAACCGAAGACGCTAAGAATAAACTAGAGAGTAAGCTCCCACACAAATTTGGGCTCTAACCCAATTGTTTAGTTACGAATGCCAAAATGACCAAGGTTAAAAGAGAACTAGCCGAAATCAAAAAGCTCTATGCCACAGCTAAGGCTAAAGTTGAGAGATATGAAGAGAAAGGCACTGAGTTCATGATTGATGAATCCAAGCAGAACAAGGAGTTTAGAAAGAAGGTTAAAGCTCTACATGACCAAATTGCTGAAAGAGATCAACTCTTGAGCCAGATACAGCATAATCCTGAGGTCAGTTCAGACCTTAAAGCTATTATTGAAGAGTCTCAGCATCAACTCTTGGATCAAGAGAGGCAAGCCATGGCAGATAGCGATAATCCTCTGCTTAAGAAGTTCCTTATAGAAGGGGGAGATATCAATCTGGTCCCAAAGCAGGATTCTTGATACTTAGCTCCCTCTGATGTTGAACGAATTATCGCCAAGCAGAAAGAGAATCAGAAATTGCTTTTAGAAAAGAAGAAGAAAGCCTCCAATCTTAAAAAAGAAAATAGTGATCTCCTAGCTAAGATAGCCTCCTTGGCTAATATCGAGAAGTCTGACCTAGAATCGGTCGCTAACGCGATGGCTGAAGAAAAGCTTGAAGATATTAAAGAGCAGTTTACCAACGAGAAAGAGAAGATCATGGAAAGTCTTCAGATAAGGAGCGAGAAAGTTCTCCAACTTGACGAAAAGACAGATATCCCCTACAAAAAGTCCACTAAACTAAGGGATAGCTTTGATAGTGACCATTCTGATAAGGCCAAGATAATACGGAATTATGAAAAGAACATTGAGTCCTTGATCCTTATCCACCTCCAAACCTCTTTTGAATTATCAGCAATGAAGGTAGAAATGAAGGTCTCCCATCGTCAAGTGAAATCTCTCACTAAAAAGCTTGAGAGTGCAAAGAAGGACCTGAAGATGAAATCTGATGACAATAAAGACTTAAGAAAGATCGTCTCTAATCTACAAAATACTGCTGAAAACGCCACATTCTTCCAGCACAGGAACACTATAGTAAGTCCTCACCATAGTACCTTAAGGAAGGTGATCAAGAAGACCAAGAAGTCATAAAGAAAAGTTATTTTAAATCCTGAAGCTTATCAATTCTCTGCAATAAAATAGGGGTTTTGGGGTTTTGGGGTTTTGGGG